AGTTTTTGTTGGCTCTAAAAGATTAACGAAATTTTTTTTCATTGTGATGTGTTTTGACATTAGGACACGCACTGGAAAGCCTGCGTACTTTGATCATCAGAAATCCTGGTGCATGTGGTCGTCTGAATCTCTATTGCACACCTGATGCTAAAAGACATTAGGCTTTGCAGGTCTAATATCAATCTAGTGACTCATTAGGTGTGCATTAGCTGCACATTAGACTCTCGAAATTGATTTTCATAAGGGGAGTAGTCAGCGCTCTCTGCAAATGCGAATATGCGGAAGATAATATGGGTAGTTAAGCTACTTGAACATTGGAGTTTAGATTTTAATATTGGCTATTCAACATTCGTAAAATAATTGGCTGGGTAAGGCATGTATTATGTCGATGTTTATGTTATATTTTCAAGCTTAGGAAAATAAAACAATAATAAGCAATCACGCCTTGCACGCTTCGTATAGCACTTGCTGTGTGTCACGCGTCTATACTGCTGGTATGACGAACTTGCTGTGCAGAGACAGTTAACAGAAGTGTAACGACAAGCGATCATTGCAATTAACAGGATTTTTTTTTGTTCTCTAACATATACTCATAAATAGCTTAGTTGAAGCGTATTACGTTTCTCGGCGTCTATTGCGTCCGATTACGGGACTTTTCCCCCATGGAAAGCTAAAATTGAAATTGGGTTTGATGCATAAAATTTGTTTCCTTTTTCCTTCTTTTATTTAAATTTTGAGGCATCTTGAATATTCTTTCATATTCCAGCTTCATTTTACATGGAAGGGAAAATGCTGTAGGCCCGTGTGTCCCGATTTCAGTGTACGTTAAAGAACCTTAGGAGGTCGATATTGCCGGAACCCTCAACTACAGCGTCTCCCATAATCATATGGGGATTTTGCACGTTAAATCCCACATATAAATCAATCAATCAACCAATCATTCAATCAATCTTCAATATTTCAAAATATAAAAGCCCTCAAGTTCTCCAAACTGAAACCTGTGAATAGCGTATTCAAAACATAAAACACCGCAACTCTTCGAACTGCACTTCACCAGATTAGTATTCACCAGATTAGATTCATGTCACATGTACGCGCGTGTATGTGTATACAGAGAGCGGAAGAAAGCCAAAGGAAATGCAACGATGTTGCATCACTTGGTTTGGGGGAAAGCGAAGAGATTTATTTGAGGTGCACGTCAGTGCACCCCAACTGGTCAAAACAAATCAGGAGTTGTTCACCATCACGTGTCGCGTAATGACGTCATATCTTCTGTGTTTTAGCACGTAGTACTCCCTAAAATAAGTCACCCTGAAGGTTTACGAGAAATCAAAGGAAGAACATTATTTTTTTTTGCATCCTCCACCAAAGGAAAGGAACAATGTGATGTGATGTGCAGGTATGTGCTACGCCGTTGTTAATTTTTCTTCACTTCCTCCTTTATTTTTATATCTTTGTGTATTTGTATTAATAGCAATAATTGGGACAAAAATAATAAGAAGAAGAACTAGCTATGGCGGTCTAGTGGTTAACGTGCTCGAATACTGACCCGTAGGTCGCGAAATCGAATCCCGGCTGCGGCGGCTGCATTTTTGATGGGGGCGAAATTGCTCGAAAGTCGTGCGATCAGATTAGCATGCGCATCGAAGAAGCCCAGATGTTCTAAATTTCCGGAGCTCCCGTAATCACGTTTCGCAATGTTAAAAATCAATAATTATTACTGTCGGCTTTTTTTTATTCTGTCAACGTTTTTTTATGTACAAGTGCCTTACACACTATACATGTTTTCGACATTTTCACTTCACCACCGCCATCGCTTTGCCCATGCATCACTAGCTAATTGGGCGCAGTCAACGCAAAGCCGCTGTGCAAAGGTTACATCGAATTCCCAAAGTAACAATTAACTACAAGTATTGCACAGACACGTACTAGCGTTCCGATGTAAAAAAAAAAAACATTTCTCACGACTTGAAGCCCCGACAAATCGGCGCTACGTATAGCATTCATACCTGTGACCACCAACCGTCTTTTCGTTCCCAGACCGAAAGAAGAAACTAACGAGCGAAGGGATTTGGTATATATTTAAAAGTGCTCATCCGTCTTTCATCGAACTGGCGGCCTCAGCAAGAGCCCGTATTCGTGCACGGTTCCCATAGCGGCAGCGTCGACGACGTGGCTTTCTATACGCGGCCCCTTTGGGAGCAGTTCATTAAGGATGTATAACTCTAATTGGAGCAGCAATTAAGGCCACTAACTATCGGCGGGAAGCGAGCGCAACACTGCATGCAGGCGGCGTGCGCTTGGCGTCCGCGTTAGCAGTTACTTATCTCCCGAAGGGCGGCCTCCTGTTCTGAGCGTTTCTTGTTACTCTTTGCACCTATCGACTCATACTAACGGTTTCCTTGAATAGTTTACACAAATTTACTTCACCCAATCGCTCGTTTGGTTTACATTGTCGGTCTTTTCGCTTGAACAAGGAGTTCTAAGATTCGCGGCTTATTGAACCTCAGCGTGCTCATCATTAGGTTATCCGTACGAACATAGTTTCCTTCTTTGATCTTCAGCCCTGGCACTTCGGGCGCCCCGGACAGTTCCTCATGCGTTCTTCAAAAAATGGGATCTTCAAACCAATCGCAACAACACAAAAAAAAAAACGCGGAGTGACCACGCGACGTGTGCCACAATCTTGAATCCTAATTAAACGAGCGTGTTCATTCCGTCTGAAAGTCTTTCGTCGCACTGGAAAGCGCTGGAAAGGGCCCTCCATGATAATTAATACTCGAAAACGTTGTGTGCTTGTTTGTGGGAAAGGGGGACGGGGTACTGCGTGGTTGCTTTTCTGGCACTTTCATTTTACTAGTAAACATGGTTAAGCAGGATATTATGTTTTTTTTTAAAGATGCCTTGAGTTATGTCGCATACGAGTCATCTTAAATGTTGTGAAAACTTCCTAGCAGCATACACTCAAACCATTAGAAAAATGAAGGGTAGCTTTCGAATAATATCAGATGTGCGAACAACGTACTATCGCGATAGAAAGAAACACGAACAGAGCGGCATCTACCGGCTTCACTTTTCGCATTTGTTTTCAATGTTTCTAAGCTGGAGGGTAACAGAACCACCATAAAGCAAACTATGAACGGAATTCTTCCGACAAATTGCAAGCCTACAAACCCTAATTCGCCCAAAACTAGACTATTCATCCGTCATTTTGGACCAACCAAAAAGAAACCTAAGTAAATCCATCGAGCTAGTTCGAAACCGCGTAGTTGGATTCATCTATTCAGATTACTCATATCCCACCAGTGTTACTACCCTTAAAAGTAAGGCAGGTTTACCTAATCTAGACCTACGACGTAAGATTTCTAGACCGTCCTTGTATCACAAAATGTATCATGTGTTTCATTATAACAACCCCATTCAACCAGCCCATCGTATACTCCAGCCCGCACGAGTCACCACAAGGTCGTCTGCCCACTTCCTGCTTGCACCACAGCCCCTCATCATTCCTTTTTTCGCTCAGGCAGTCAGGAAATGCAATGATCTCCCCTCAAGTGTCATCGACTATTACAACACAGATACATTTAGGAATGACATAGATTTCTTGTTTTATTAACTCTATATTGTTTGCCCACTTCCTCATGTAAAGTCTTCTGTTGAGGTCCTTGGAGGTGAAAAAATAAATAAATAAATAAATAAATAAATAGATAATGGAATTCTTTTCGATGAGAGCATGCGTTTGTTATGCACAAGCATAAGAATGCAACATACAATTAGGCCAGGGTAAGCGTAGGAGTCATTGATTCACCTTTATCCGCAATGTTCTGGCGCATGCGCTATCACTATAGAGCAATGAAGTCTCACACCATCTTTTCATCTCGGAGGCCTTCCTACTGGCAATACCGGTTGTCCCGGGCTTTACAAGAAACCGTGTACCTAAACGGCAAAGGACCGTACATGTAGGAAAATGAAACCGGTGGATTGCTATCTTTACTTGTCCTGTACTGTTGCCTGACCGTGCACCTACACGGTCAGGCAACAAGTAATGGTCCCAGTGAAGTCCGTGGCCTAATTATATGTAGCATTCATTACCGTCAGCCACGATGATACATTCAATTACGATATTTTTGTTTTGTTTTGTTTTTGCAATGTCATTAAAGTAAGAGCACGATGGGAACACGTGCGAACAGTGGAGGACCGATGCGCTGCGTCTTTATTTCGATTCGCTCATGTACATCCGATACGGTAATTAATAACGGAGCGAAAAACCGCTATACTCTTATTAGCACTAAATAACTGTGCACACTCACCCTGAAAAAAATATATATAGAAAAACCCCCACAAGAAAACAAGCGAAGAGGGAAATGATTGATAAGGACATGCTTCCCGTATCCTCTAGCGATAAGGTAGATGGATGCCCACAAAGGCACTGTCGGAGTATATCACCCGAAAAAAAAAAAAAAAGAATGAAAAGGTTCCACGGCTTTTTTGTACCTACCTTCGAAGTAAGTAGAAGACGTTCATATCGCTTCCGCGTTCTTTCTCTTTTCAACGCCCCTCCCCCCTCCCAGAAATTCAGATTTATGCGTCTCGCGAAAAAGCCGTTTGTCTGCTCGATCTCGCAGGACCGGCGAGACCTCGAGCCATCGTTCAGCAACAAAGCGAGCAAGAAATGAACAAACAAACATTGGAGATGTGTATAGGTAGCGCCCTTCCTCCCCTGGCTTCGTGCCAGTGCGTTACCTGGCTTCGGCGAACGAAAAAGCCCCCACGTGGCGTCAGAAACCTGGCGCGACGGATGGATACGGGCGGCAGCATCAGGGTGCTTCTTTAGATCTCCGACAGAGAGCGCCGCCGTGTCTGTGACGCGTAACACACGTGACTCGATAGCGAACGCAAGAACGAACGTTGGGGCTCACTGAAAGAGAGAGTGAAGAGAAAGGAGGAGGCTTCGCTCGCTGGGCGCGTTAGCAGCCGTCGCAACAAGCCGCGCGCGTCGCAAGCGTGTGCAGACGGCGGCCGAGACGACGCCTGCCCGTTTCTTCTTGAGAACGTGCATTCGGGATCAGTTCGGTTTTGTTGTTGTTGTTTTTGTAGAAAACCAGCGAACCGACCAGATCTCTCTTAGCGACGGTCACCGATCGTTGGGATCCAGTGTACGGCGTTTGGTCGACCTTCTTGACCACCAGCGAAGAAGATCGTCTAACGTGCGCGTGTTTCTCGGGTTTATCTCGTAACGGAAAGCACCTTTTCTGACCAAACGAGTCCCCGAGGAAAAAGAAAAAAAGAGAAATTCGTCAGCTTGTGTGTGCGTGCGTGTTAAAGTGTATACGAAAGTGTTCCTGCCGTGGGATAAAATGTGTGTTGCGGCCACGAGATATTCAAGTTGAACGTGATGACGACGACCGAAACTACCTGAGAGCGGGAAAAGAGCTGGGCTTCGCCGCATGCATGGATCCATATGCAGCAGACAATTCCTGAATAAGAGCCGCCGGCGATGAAACAGCTGTCGTCTGCTCGCTACTCCTCGTAAGTCACCGTGTCCTGTCATTTGCCTCGCGAACAAGCTGCTACCGTTCATTCATGCAACGCCCCCCCCACTTCACAATCTTTTTTTTTTTTGTCATTCACTCTCAGGCTTTCAGATCGTGGTTCATCTGGGAAGGTAGATCGGAGTAGGAAAATCTATTTGCTGGCGCTGGTGTGCACCTATCCTAGTTCCGCTGAGAGACACGTTGAACAGCCTTCTGGTCGTATTGATTTCCGACCTCTGGTGCCCTTTTTTGCTTAATCATTTTTTTTTTGCCTCCTTCCCGTGTGGTCCCTTCTTCGATCAGACCGTTTGAGGTGTGGCGCTAAGATGAGGTATAGCCAGGAGGGGAGAGCTGGAAGAGAATAAATGAGAGGGGGCGGAAGGGCGATTCCTAAATTCGGTCACCTGGTTCCAACGATACTGAGAAGGTGCCCATCCATTATCCTCCCGCATACTTTTCCGAGACAAAGGCGAACGCATATTTTGTTTCTGTTTTCGTGCCGTCCCACCTTGTGCTAATAGTCGGAAGGGGGAGGGGCACTTCTGCTTTGCAGTGAAGTAACCTTTTCTTATAGCTTCGCGTACTTTGCTGTTGGAAAGCCATGGCAGAAATTTATAGACTTTTCTGCGTGTTTTATTTGACAGTATAACAGAGGGCCTGTCAGCTAAGTGTCCTGTTTCATTGTAAAATGTTGACATCACGAAGCGCATGGATGTGTACTAGAAGCTGGTAGTACTGTTGATATAAAGCACGATAGATAAATGTGAATGACAGACCAGGACAACCTCGAACATTTAGGTATAAAAGCTGGCTTCAAACAAACTTTTTTCTCACGCTTTTTTCACTGCTTGCAACATTGTCCTTGTCTTCGTTGATTTTTTAGCTATCACTTAAAACTAGTGTATGTTAATGTTACATGTTTTCTTTACAAATGCTGTTTTTACCCAATTGATTAAATTACTACATATTCGCACGTATTTGCAATGAATGCAACAGTCACATATTCTCGAAGAAAAAAAAGAAAGAGATTTACATTTTCAGGCATTTAGTTGTAAGCCTCCTTTTGATATTCTCTTTAATCGATGCCGGTTACCTTAATCTTGCCACTCTACATCGTGCCACGTTATGTGAAACAGGTGGCTCTCTTTTTACTTGTTAACAACCTGGCCTTCAAAGGTCGCCTTGCGCATTAATTTATTTCCGTTTTTCTATTTTAGTTTCGAAACCACGATGATATAAATTCGAGCTTAATGCCATCACAAATTGCACAACACTCTTGCTGCACCGCCCAATCTTGCGCAACGCATAATCAATACTTAAGGTGGTAGTGCACTTTTCCTACGATTCTTATCATTAATCAGCGTTTAATTATCTCCCGTCATAGTTTCCTACCCCCTATACTTTCGTCTATCATTTAGCTCTCCTTGCCCCTACATATTAAGCGAGAACATTGCCTTTGTGTGTAATATAATTCATTGATTGGTATGTGGGATTTAACGTCCCAAAACCACCATATGATTATGAGAGACGCCGTAGTCGAGGACTCCGGAAATTTCGACCGCTTGGGGTTCTTTAGCGTGAGCCCAAATCTGAGCACACAGGCCTGCAGCATTTTCGCCTCCATCGAAAAGGCAGCAACCGCAGTGTGTGTAATATATTCATTCAATTCCGAGTGAATGTCTGAGCGATCCAGAATGTTGATATCCTGTTACTTGTATATGTGGCTGTCTCATCACGACGTTATCTTGCTTATTTGATTTGATTGTTTAGTGTACCAATGGGAAGATATTCCGCGGTCCACTTGGTGATCGTCTAATGGGAAAACAAACGCCCCGCCGCGGTGGTCTAGTGGCTAAGGCTGCTGACCAGCAGGTCGGGGGATCGAATCCCAGCTGTGGCTGCTGCATTTTTGATGGAGGCGAAAATGCTGTATGCCGGTGTACTCAGATTGGGGTGCACTTTAAAGAACCCTAGGTGGTCGAAATTTCCGAAGCCCTCCACTACGGCGTCTCTCATAATTATATGGTGGTTTCGGGACGTTAAACCCCACATATCGATCAATCAATAAACCAAAATATATTATAAAACGACATCATGACGTACCGATATGGAAGTGCGAACTTGAGAGAAAGAGCTAATAGTGAATGTTAATGACGAATTGAAACGCGACTTTATTTTTTATGTTAATTCTGTTATGAGCAATTGCTCGTGATGACGGTGCCGCATAGTTGAAAATATTATTGCTAGCGGTAATGTTAGCTGTAACGTATGTGCTGTAGTCAAAATTACGTTCATTTGACGCTTATTGTAGAGACTGTAAATTATTTAGTTATTTATTTATTTCGTTTGTATACAAAGAAAACACCAAGACACAATGAAATAGGGAGGGAACAAGCCGTCAACTGCCACCTATAGGGGCACAACGCCTGCCTGCTCCTTCGGGAAGGGCAGACATAGAGGAAAAAAAAAAGGCAGCAGAGAAGAAAAAAGAAGAGAGAAGGGCAAGGTAAAAACAAACAAAACAAAAAGAAGAACACGTAAACACAAATAATTATAGTCACACGGAAAATGTCTACAAACGCGCCGCCAAGTCCGTTTTTCTTTGAGAATGGTAAAAAAGGGTGCTCGGCGGGACTGGTCACGCCAGAAGCACATCCTCCTGGGAACGGGCAATCGTGAAGGGTCGTGCACCTAAGTTCAATAACTCCATATTCCTTCTTGAGTAGTGCTCGCTGCACCATGACTGTAGGGCACGCTAAAATTGTGCGCTGTGGTGACACACAGTAAGCCACACGACGAACATATGGGACTGTCGGCACGTCCTTGACGGTATAATCTGGAAACGGAAAGTGCGTGTAATGCATAGCCCTAAATTTTCGAACAACATTATAAATGTACATTTCGCAATATGTGTCAGTGAGAACATGTGCGAACTCTGCGACAAGTCCATCCATCCTTGTATATATAGGAGTTATATTAGAGTGTAGCGCATTCTTTATATTATTTCCCTTAAGCACTCTTGCCCACCCCGATATGGAAAGTAACGGCATAGAAACGGGCTACGAGTGCATGTTTTGAGACAGATGTGTGAGAAAATAGCAATTCCGAAAGAAGTTTTTCTGTCTGTCTGTCGTTTTTTTTTCTGTTTGTTTCTTTATTTTTTTAATGTCCGTATAACGAAGAACTAACGCGCTGTATACAGCCAAGCTAAAGCGCGACTCGAAGTTAGTAGACGACCCCGTCCGTGAAAAGGCGTTACAATAGTGTAACGACGTTTATGAGTCATCTACAGTCGTACACGTCGCGACATCTAACGCAGGTGCGGCGCTTCCCTGCGAGTCCCATCGTTCGTTTCCGCCGTGCTGTTGATTGGCTGTTGACATTTGCATGGTCCACGAACGACCTCGCATCGGAGCTTGCGAGAGTGTACAATTTGTCATGCGTTTAAATTTTGTAGTCTTTTGTATCTGTTTCCTTCTCTTTTTTTCGATGACTATATATCCACTGCATGAGATGACTATGCTCTCCGCGTGCAGTAAAAGCCACAAGCATGTTTCAAGCGTTAAAATCGTTCATTGTCTTTTAAGACAATGCTCATACCACGAAGAGTTCGAAAAGACGTCTTCGGCGATTTGAAATGCCTATTCTTTTTTTTTAACGCTACATGGAACAAGTTTTCTTATGGCTATCAGCTATTTTATTTACAGCGGCTTACCTTTGTTGATCGTGTTAGTTTTCCTTGCCTCTTTCTCTCTGTGTGTATACGTGCTTTTCGCTGTGTGTGTTAGTGCATGCTTTGCGCGTGGTGGTGCATTCTTTTTATTCGTTTAAAATTTACATATTTTAGAACATACATACAAATTATGTTAAAATTTTGAGTTGGATTATGTAACTGGAGATTACCTATTCCAATTGGTCATGTCTTATGTCTACAAGCGAAACTAGTAAAGGCGTACACAACGGTCCTAGAAATTTTTTTCACGTTGATTCCTTTAGCAGAGCTCCGCAGAGATACCCGGAAAAGTGCTGCGGAATACAAATATCAAAATGCATCGTAGTTTCAAGCCTGAAATACAAATAATCACACAAATGTCTTTGAAGTTACGAGATATTTTCAACATATATTTGTAAAAAGACGAAGTATGAGAAGAAGTATACCGGTATACAATTAAAGAGATACAGATACAAGAACACAAACACCGATTTTTTTAAAAAAAGGATTGCTATTCCCTAAGTCATTTAATGGGTGCTGGATAATACTGCATTTAGTGTTTCAAGGCATTGAAGCTTGCAAGACAAGCATATCACTTGATTCAGTAGCGATCGGCAATGCATTCAGAAAAAACATATACATCGTTTTGCCGCACAGGGTCTTTAGACGCAGTCTTTTGCGTTAATTGCACATATGCAACATTACATTAAACAGGTTGTCATTTAGGGAGCGTCCATACGGCCTCAAGACAAGATTCGTGAACTCAAGAAATGGCTTTCCGCCCGGAATATATATATACGGGTACACTACATGCCTTGCGAAACAGTTGCATTCGTAGGTAGATTGTGACGGTGCTCTTACCAGAATTGTGCTGTCAGCGGCATCAGGTACCTTTACCTATTGGATTATTCTGCGGGTATGGGGAACCCTTTGGCACCCGCACTGTGTCACCGACCGGTAGCGCGCCTTTGATTGTATAAGGACAAAAGAGTCTTTCTTACCCTTTTGAAAGACGATAGCTCATTTCTGAAAAAAAAAAAAACGGGATACCTGCGTCCTGCGCTGTATCGCGATATAATCGATACATCGTAAAGGTATTTTACTACTGAGACACGAACACATTTTCAAAATGTATCTTTATGCAAAAATACAGATGTTCAAAAGTACCTCTATGATACTATCGCGATATTCTTATCGTTACTGCTCAACCTTGCTGATTAGCGAGGGTCACAATGTAATCAGAAAATGTCTCCCATTTCGATCAGGTTATTTCAATCTTTAAA